TCATTGTTCTCCCTATCTCTTGCCCTAGGCCAAGACTAAAAGTGTCCACGTCACCTAGGGACAGGAAACAAAATATTTATCCCCAGTAGCCACCCCTAGGCTGCTTACAGCCCTGCTAAATTCAACAAACAGGCAGAACTTTGAGTATACAATAATCCTCTGGACACAATGATCAGAGAAACCTATCCAGTGGGCAATAGCGAAGCATGGCCATGTTAAACTGAAGTGAAAATTACCTGAATGTCCCAATTCTCTCCCTTTTCTGACTGCTGAATGTTACTCATTTACTGTTGCCCTAAGCCTTGGCCTGTCCAGCCCATAGGTTAATATGTCACTGATCCTGAATGGGAGAGCTAATTTAATTTCTGTTTTAAGGGTAACACACAAACAAGTCTCCATATATTTCCCAGTTACCATTAACTAAACTCTTTGTGTTTAACAATAACTTCTGATCCCTAGAGAATTTATGTTCTTTGGTTTCTCTGCTCCTTTAATACTTATTCCTTAAGAATAGATTAGGTTCTGACATTTCTTTGTGAACCAGAGCTCCTTGGTATTTGAGGCCCTGACTTGACATTTTTATTATTGTGTATGTTTATTTCCAGGGCCCTGTCAATACTGAGAGTTTGGCCACATACCCTGGATATCAAGATTTCTGTTTGTATACTTCCCTACACTGGTAAGACAATGCACTGTCTTCAGACAATTATCTAGCTGAACTCCTCATCCTTCTAACTAAAGGGTGGGGTAAGGAAAACTCAGTTTCCATGGTCAAGGGTTATGATGTTGAAAGTTGGCTTTTGAAAGGAGCCACAAGTAGCTACAACTGAAGTAATCTTGAGAGCTAAGGGTTACCAGGTCCAGACACATGCACTGATCGTCGGCGCCTTAGGCGCATGGGACCCCAGTAACTAGCGAGTGCTGAGAGAATGCGGAATCGGTCAACGCTACTCTCGGCTGATGCGGCAACTCCTGGTGTCGGATGCCATCAGGTGGTCGAGGGACATCTACATAGAACATACCATGGACATCGGCAATACCAGGAGGGATGAGCTGGAGTGCCGATGAGAAGCGCAGTCAGGAAAGTAACAAATACTTTCCTCGTGGATTGTATTTTCTCAATGGACAACCAACCTAATTCTCAATAGTGAGGGACAATCTCCACTCATTGATATATTTTGTTTTCCACAACCAAATCTCTGTACAACCTTTCACGACTGATGTACCAGAGTATTCGGATTCTAATATCTAAACTGTATTGTTAAATCTATTCACCTAAATTTGGGTTATTGCTGACTATGTACTCTATGTATCATATGACTTTTAAAAACTAACTTTATAGTTGTGGATAATCTAAGCACTATACCCAGATGTACAGACACTCTTTTCCCAACCTATGTATTATATAATTTTTTTAACATTAGGTTTAATACAATTTTTAAATCTTTTATTAGACCAACTTCTGTTGATGAGAGAGACAAGCTTTCGAGCTTACACAGAGCTCTTCTTCCAGTCTGGGAAAGGTGCTCCCAATCTCACGGCAAAATGCAAGGTGCAACAGATTTTTTAGCATAAGTAGTTAGCATATATTCTAAGGCCTGGTCTACACTACGACTTTAATTCGGATTTAGCTGCGTTAATCCGAATTAACCCTTCACCCGTCCACACTACAGAGCCAGTTAATTCGAATTAAAGGGCACTTAAAATCGATTTCTGTACTCCACCTCGACGAGCGGAGTAGCCCCAAAATCGATTTTGTTAATTCGAATTAGGGTTAGTGTGGCCGCACACCACCGAATTAATGTGGTTAAATTAATGGGGTAGTGTGGCCGCACACCACCGAATTAATGTGGTTAAAAACCGAATTAATGTGCTTAGTGTGGCCGCGCACAATCGAATTTATACAACCTGTTTCCCAAATTCGAATTATCTAAATTCGGATTAATCCCGTAGTGTAGACATACCCCAAGGGACATTCAAGGTAGAGTGGCCTGTTAACACCTCTGCAGTCATAGGACATACATGTCTTTCCTGAACATCTGTGCCTGAATCCCAAGAGCAGGCCCAAGGAGAGGCCACAGCTTTCATGGCCTATGGGAATGAACCATGGACCTCTGGCAATCAATGAGAACGTGAGTTAATGAGAGGATTCAGTGCAACTATTGAAACTATTGAATCCAATTAATCTCTGGCACTGCTGACTTAAGGGGAGCAATACTAAAGGATGAATTGGGCCCACAGACTGGATGGAACAGCTAACCAGTGCACACTCTCATCCTGGTAAATGCCAACCATCCTCAATTCCCATTAAAGTCAATTTTTAAGCCAAACATTTGAGCCAAAAGTGGGCAGTTTTTGCCTAATTCAACTGCATTATCCCCCTTTACAGTTAGAGAAACTAGACACAGAGGAGAAAGTGACTTGTCCACTCACACAAGCAAGTCAGTGTCAGATGCCAGATTTCACTCCAGTTCACCTGATTGAGGTAATAACTTTTATTGATAATATCTTTTATGTTATTACTTCGCCCATCTTGTCTCTCTAATATCCTGGGACTGACCCGGCTACAACTACTTTGCATTTAGCCCCTCATCTAGTCTACTAGATCACAGCTGTGCCATTAAAATTAACAGGTTCATAGTACTGTTCCTATCAGGAAGTACTCCTGGAGAAGCCACAACTAGAAACTTCTATGCATGTGAAATCAACAAAGAACAGGGGAAAAACACCATCCTCATTTCTTTTCTTAATCCTCAACCTATGCCCATAGCTGCTTGGTATAGCAGGGAACAGGATGACAACTGAAGCATGAAATTAATCCAATGGAAATTTAATTTCTATACTAGGTTATTAGAAATATATTTTCTTCTATTCTCTGTTGCAGAAAGCAATGAATCGTGTAAGCAAGTCAAAGGAATGAATATACTATGGTAGGAAGGGTCCATTTATAAAGCAACATCCACATCTACAGACTTGGGAAATAACTCACACAGGTTTCCCTGGAACATCCTCACATGGTTATAATCACACATGGCACTGCCCCAGGGTGAAACCAGGAAGTGTCACTTTTCTAAAATATTACATATTGCATTAGCTGTCGCAGCATGAAGCTGGCATTTCCTGCTTCGTTTGAACTTTTTATGTTATTTTTTCCCCCTGGGAGGCTCAAGCCCCACCCAGACTCTAAAACCAGGAAAAGGGGTTTTCAGAATCTCACACTCCCTTGAACAGAGTAGCCCTCCAGAATAGTATTGTTAATGTAAGTGTTTAACTAGGGATTTGAGAGCTTGCCATGTCTTTTGCTTTGGTGCTGCCAAGGGTGGAGAGGAAGAGATTTCCTGTTAGGTCAGAGGGAGGGTATGTAGGTGTTCCAAAGTGAAGGATTAATGAGAATGTAATCAGGAATGTACCTCCTCAGCTGCACTGAGCTCACAGGGAGGAGGCAAAGATGGCTCTAAGCAAATGTTAATCCTGGAGACAATTCTGGCAGTACAGGATCATCCCCTCTGGCCTCTGATATGCCTCCTACATGGACAAGAGGTTTAGGCGATGTAAAGCTGGCTACATTGCTTTATGTCCCTGGGGGACTCCCCTGTGTCAGGGGAATTTCCAGCTGCCCCTTTAGGGAAGCTTCAAGTCCCCTTTGTTCTTTAAAGCAGTGCAACGGGACTCACCGAAGCCTGAGGGTCTAACCCATGGTGGTTTTGCGCTTGTAGACACTGGGCTGGATACCCCCACTGCCTTGCACCTTGTGTTGTCATTTGGACCTGAATGAAGGTTGTTTTATACTCACTGTTCACAGGTATAAAGAATTACACAAGATGCAAAACAGCAGAGGATCAGGTCTAGTGCATTTACAGTCAGTCACGCAGGGGTCCTGACTTACCACTATTATCCATTTTCATGGCAGTGTCACTCCATTGATTAAACAAAACAAGTTTACCTTAAAATAACTTTGAGATTCTCTATTTCACAATGGTTTCTATTAGGACCTGAATTTTCTCAGGCCTAATCTACTCATGAGGTTCCTCCTCCTGCTGGGAAATACAATGCTCTTATCATTACAGTGGCAGCCCCAACTCCTCCCCAATTCAGGCAACACTGAATGGAGACATTGAAAAAGGGGCAGGAATTTCTGAAAATTCCTACAGTCAGTAAATATTTATTTAGTTCTCTAAGGCCCCAATCCCGTCATTGGATTCACATGGACAGAGCCCTGCATCAAATTCCTCTCAAGTGCAAAGGTCCTGCTGCATGGGTACAATTGCAGGATCAGGGGTAGATTTTATAACCAATCACTAAAGTTTTCCTTCCAAGCTGAACTGCAACGATGATCACGAAAGTACCATATTAGTGACACCTAGACAATTCATCACATTTGTCTAGAAGGTTTTCTACTTTCCCAGGAAGTTTCATTCACTAGAGGAAGTGTGACCTAATGGAGAGAGCACTGGACTAACTCAGGTGACTTGGATTCTAGTCTCAGCCCTGCCACTGAGTGACTTTAGGCAAGTCACTTCTCCTGTCTGTGACTCAGTTTCCCCATCTTAAAACGGGGATAATGATACTTCTCTCCTCTGTAAAGCATTTTTAGATATACAGCTGAAATGTGCTATATAAGTGCTAAGTACTATTATTATAAATGTAAACTCTGATTTGTTATCAGCAATTTATTATGAACATTACAGGGTTCTCTCCTTGCAATGTTACAACAAAGGATTAGATTGCACAGCCATGTAAAGGTAATACAGCAGGACCACAGAAACCACACCTACAAATCATTTCCTCCCTGTACCTTGTACCTAACAGCAATCACCTCACATGAGCCAGGCCCTCAGTGGAAAACTTCAGTATGTCCAGAGAAAATAGTAATTACATAGCATTCAATAAAATGCTGAAATGATAAAGTGATGAGCAGCCAAACATTGTGTGTGGTGTGGAGTGAAAGTACAATTCCTTTGTGCGCGCGCGCGCACACACACACAGTATTGCAGACTTACCGGCCACCACACCATGCTCCGTCCAGCTAGGAAGAATCCACCCACAGTCCCTCGGTTTGTTGAGAGCATGGCCTGGAAAGAAAAAAAAAAAAAAAAAAAAAAACTGGTTAAAAATGTTCAGCTCTAATAAGCCAACTATAGCCTGATGGCATCAACAACCAGGGCAGTGATGAGAAAGAGGAATCAATGTAATGATCAAAAAGGGCCAGGGAAGAAAGAATCTGAAGGGAATAATATGACCTGACAATGACTGAGCAATGATTCTTATATCAATCTATAAATAAACCATTCCAGCTTTATTGCTTCAACTTTCATTACACAAAGCCTGCAAAACCCAAATCTAAACACCGCACATGTTAAAATACAATGAACTATACAATAAAAATAAAACAAGAAATGCATCACTAACCAAGGGCCTTGCCTGCAAACTGTCACTCATAGGAGCACTCCTTCAGGTGAGCAGGCCTCAAAACTGCTGATGTAGCGAGTTTTATGTTCATGCACTAGAGATGCCATACCGAGCTTTCTTACTCAATACTAGTGTGCTCCAGAGATTCCCTGCAGGAATCTACTGCATGGCAATTTAACCTTTCCTGTTCTGATTAGATCATCAAGGAACCCGCACTTCACTTTTTAGCCTTTCTTCACTTCCACAGAGTAGCAGTTAAGAATTACTTTCCTCGCTCTCATTTTATATGTCAGGAGTGACTTCATGGGAAATTTCCCTCACATTTTTCACAGGGCCTGATCCAAAACCCTTTGCAAACAATGATCCTTTGGATCGGGCCCAGAGAGGGTGTGAGAAAAAGTGAGCCAGATCATTGATCTTAATATAGAAGCAAGAAAATAAACAAACAGGGGCATGTTTCACTACATACAATAGTTGAATCAAGAGACACATTTAACATTAAGCTTCTTAGAAACTATTCAGAACTACAAACTTCAATGCTCCAGTGCCTGACATGCCACCTACCAGCCCTCTTCTGCCCCATGAGTTTATGTTACAAAGAATTACAGTCAATAATAAATTACAATAATCATACTTCAGGTCAGATTGTACCTTTAAGGGACAAGCCTGATTCCCTCCCAGAGCTGCCCAAGATGCAATGGAGGCGTTTCTGACACCAAACCTCTTAGAGAAGAGCATGCTGCACCCTTCTGAGTCAATGGACAGCTTGGCTGGCTAGAGTGGGCTGATGGGGGGACTCCTGGCCCTGCCTCCTCCCCATTCTTCCCTGCTCCTTTGAGGTTGCTTGCGCCCCAGGGTGCACTAGGAAGAAGCAGTGCTCTCATGAAAGGTATGGGCCCTCAATTGTGTTTTGCTTCTGTGGGAGGTGGTGGGGGGAAATAAATGGACAGGCTGTCTGGTACAATCCAACCCTTGGCATTCAATACACTCAGCCAGAGGTACAGGTGCAGGTACTTCACATCTTCAAAGTGCTGAACAAACATTAACTAGTTCATTGGCATCAAAAGTTAATCACTTTTCAAAACTCTGTCAGGCTGCTAGTGTGGAAGATTTTGTCTGCAGCTGCCTGCTCTGTTCTATGGCATGAACTCCTGGGTTATTTCAGGGGAGCGCACAGGTCACTGAGGGGCAGGTTTCCCTGACTCATTCTGTTAACTGCTGGCTCTTTCCTCAAGGGACTAGCAGAATTTTCCCCATGGACAGTCTTTGATGTCTCCTCAGATAGAATACAGACTCTGTTCCTGAAAGGGATATCAGCTCTTCAATCTAGTGACACACAAGTGTTTTCCACTAAGGCAACATTAGTACAAACACTATCTGCCCTTTTCCTTTGAACCATGCAGAATCAAGATTTATTCTAATAGGACAATATCTGCCTTTCACCTATTAGGTGTGAAAGAATTCTTCTCTCTAAGGCTGCAGTCTCTGTACTTCCCTCTGCATCATCAGCATGCTTCACGAGGAGGCACAATCGTATCTGCTTTAAACAGAAAAGACCCTAACACCAGCAGCACTTGTCCTCACTGAGATTTGTTCCTCCTCAGAGTCTAAATGCACCTGCTCTTTGCAGTGAAGTCCTACTGATGAAAAGCTGGCATTCTCCTGTGTCCAGACCATGTCTGTTCTCTCGTCCATTTCATATCCATCCCGCAACAATCCCCATCTGCCACTCCATTACCATCTCTCCTCCGCCTTTAGCTCTATTCCAGTCCCCACCATTTACAACTCAGTCCAGTACTCACCCCCCCCTTCCTACCACAATCAACCCCACTGCAATCCCCATTTACCCCACCTCTCACACTTCACTCCAACTATTACTCCATCACAAATTCCTATTTGCAGGCTCCTCTGCTCCATCCCCACTCACCCCCGCTACCATCCCATTCCCATTTGCACCCCCACTCTGTTCCTTACCATGTCCCCACTCTAATCTGCTAAAAATGTCCACTTCACCATTATCCTGATCTCCATCCATTGGCCCTTTCTTATAGTTCCTTCCCCATCCACACTCCTCCTTCACCTCAGCCCCATCTATCCTCCCCTCCACCACCATCTTATCATCTTCACCCCCAATCCAGATCTCATACCAGGTCCTACTGCCCCACTGAAGCCCAACTTAATCCCCATCCTGCCACCTTTCAGCTCATCCCCCAGTTAAGCAGCAGGCAATTTACACAATTATAGTTTTAATATACAAAGCCATTCTCCTAAAACCCAATAAACCACACTTTCATTAATAAAGAAAAATCCAGACATACCCATAGTCCCACTGCTAGGACTACCACAAAATAGATGACTATGACTGAGATGTCAGCAGGGTTATTGATTTTGTCGGAGGAGTCCATCCTGCCTGCTTCTCCAGCGCCTTTCCTTCTTCTCTCCTTATAATGTCTCTCACAGACTTCAGGTTAATGATAAACCCCTGTCGTCCCCCTCTGTCTTGTATAATATATAACTTTAGATACACTTGTTTCACTTGTATGGGTACAAAGTGAAGCTGATGCTCTTTCCTGAGCTGGGACTGTCTCCAAAAAACTGCTCCCCTATTACAGCTGTTGCTGATTTCAGAGCTAAAGACCGACCCGAATTCACATCCTCTGGAGAAGGTGCTCAGAGTTGTGGCAGACGGAGAGCAGGTGTCTGGGAAGGAGTGAGCTGTGGAAGGAGTGGCTTGGACATAATATACCCAGTGTATGCACCTCACTGTTTGCAGATACTCTTCCTGGATAGGTTGTTCCTGTAAATCTGGTCATGGAATTAATTGTTTCCTTGAGAAATTGATACTTACCAAGCCCAAAGAAACAGTGACTGACACTTAGGGAAACCCCACAGTTCCATGAGCTAATACTCCTGCTGTGCCATCCCTCATCCCAGCAGGAATACACAATGGAGGTACAGCCCAGCATTTCTGGAACAAGACAATAGGAAACCACTATTATCTCTTACATCTAGATCACTATAGCGATATGTCTCAGCCATAAATTTGAGATCCAGAAATGAACGCGCCCCTCCCCCCCGCCGCAGTGTTCAAAACCAGGGTTTTTGTTCTGCCCACTGTGGCAAGCTATGATGTTCTAATTCCAGATTCAAATAACCCCCAAAGTTCAGTGTTGCTTAGGTATGGTCCCATATGCAGTTATTTATTCTTTCTTGGACTTGAAAATTAGACCAAACAAAATGACCTGATGCAAAAGAGAACTCAAAGATGTGGGGCAGGCTGTGATTGTCCACAGAGCTCCTAAGTCACTCAAAAACAGCCCCTGAAAAGGGAAGTTTCCTCAGCTCCCTGTGATCCTCTCTCATTGAGCAGGAGGTGGATACCACAGCCAAGATCAGAGGGGTGCAGGAGACGTAGGCAATAGACAGGTGTAAGAATTTCAAGGCTCTGGGGATATCTGAAAGTCTGTCTCCACCTTTGCTTTACCCCACGCAATCATAATTCATTTACAGTTCAGTAGGCTGCCAGCCAGGAATTGATTGCCATGTTGTATTTACCCTAAAGAGAATGAACAATACAGAACATACAAAGCATAGTGGGCTTCATTGTGATCTTGTACTGGTTATACATCATTGATTTCAGTGGAATTACTCCTGATTTTCAGAAGTGCAACTGAGATCTGACCCTCTGTTGTTAGGGAATCCTTTCCAAGGTGTAATTATCCTATGACATTTTGCTTTTTTTTTAAATTATTATTAGTAGTAGTAGTAGCTAAACAGAAGCATATCTATATGTAAAATACCATAACAAAGGACCATTGATCTGACGTTATAGAGTAAAACAAGAACTCCTTCTTTCTCATCTATACATTGCAATGAGAAAGGCACCTATAAATTTCCTACAAAATGCTAGCCTCTGATAATTTAGGCACCTCTTCAGCACAGACTTTTATTTGTTCTACAGACAGGCAGTGAAAATGCTGTTTGTAAAGCCAATAGGTGAAAAAAATAACCCTAAGAACTGCTTAGCACCCACAATTCCCATTAACTTCAACCTTTCCTGTTGTCTGCTCCAGAGGTCTTATTTACTAACCCTAATTACCAGGCAACAGTTTGTCTAAGGTAGGATGTAGCTGGCCTTTCATACAAAGGCTGATGCAAATGGATTCCCATGTGTCCTTGTAACAAATGAATTGTTTTATTTTCACTCACTCTTAGTTCATGAATTGAATTCCAGTTTCAGCTCCTGTAGCCACAACAAACTCTAACATAAGAAAATAGTAAGTTGTGGAACACATGGGCCTGATTCTCCACTGCCTTGCCCCCTGAGTTGTCATCCACCCCTGTGCAAACCATCACTAAAGAGACTGTAAGACGCTACTACTGGCATAAGTGAGTGGAGAATTCTGCTTTACACCCACTGCACACACTTTGGCCAGGTCTAGATGATTCCACAACATGCAAAGACAGGAGAGACTCAAACCCCAAGAATAAATAATCACACAATTCACATCTTTACCTGTGGTGGCTGTATTGGTTTGGTTCTTCTTTCTCCATGTCAGGTACAGACGTAACTGGGACACTGATTACAGACTGGCTGTGAGGTAATCACAATAGTTGTGCCTCCATATCCTCATACCTGCAGTTCATATGGAATCCCAGAGGCATTGTACTCAGCAGAACGTCAGCACAGCACAGCCTTTCACACACACAGCACAGAGTCAGCCTGTGGAATTCACTGCTGCGGGCTGTCAAACACTCAGGTACTCTAGCTCAGTGTTTCACAACAACTGGTCCGTGGACCAGCGCAGGTCTCAGATTTCCCTGACACAGTTTAGGAAGGCAGCAAGCCAGTTCCCAGCATCATAAAGGTTGAGAAACACTCCTCTAGCGGGTTTTAAAAAAAAAGATTGGCCAACAATATTTGTACTTATGCATGCACAGATATGAGTAACTAAACTTTCTGCTGCAAGGTGAGAGCTTCTCAGCAGAGGGCAAGGAAGAATCTCTTCCACCACACACTCCTGAGCAGGGCATTCACAATTAGCTAGGTGCATTATTGGTATAAGGCTACGATTTAGTCACGGAGGTCACGGCAGTCACGGATTCCGTGACTCTACCGGACCTCCGTGACTTCTTCAGCTTCAGCTGTCAGCAGCTGGAGCCGTGGCTGGGGCTGGGGTCAGGGCTATGCTCCCCACATAGTCCTATGGTGGGGGCCACTGCTGGGGCCATGTGCCCTCCTGCTCCACAGCCAGGGCCATCCCTAGGGGGGTATAGGGCCCGGGACAAACCCCACTCCCACCCCAGAACCTTTCCCCAAGCCCCCGCCCCCACCCCTGCTCCGCCTCTTTCTGGCTTCCGCCCCTTCCCCCGAGCAACACTGGAAGCTGGCGGGGTGGGGTGGGCTAGGGTCACTGCTGCCGCTTCCCGTCGGTGAGTGCGGGCCTGACCCCCGCTGCTAGTGCCAGGCCCCCCGCTAACCTCCCGGGCCAGCCTGGCCCCCGGCACCCTAACCCCACCCCCACGGGCCGGCCTAGTGCCCCCCGCACGACACACACACAGAGCTGTCCCTAGGGTACGGCAATTCAGGGCGGCCGACACGGGGCCCCCCCAAAGCGCAGGGGACGGGCTAGCTGCCCGAATTCGCCGTACCCTAGGGATGGCTCTGCCCGCGGCTTGCGCTGGGGGCTGCCACCAGGGCCGTGTCTCCTGCTCCGCAGTGGAGGCTGCAGCTGGAGCTGTGCACCTCTGCCGCAGCTTGTACAGTTATTTTCAGTAAAAGTTTTGTTTGTTGCCCCTGACCTGTCTGTGACTTCTACTAAAAATAATCGTGACAAAATCTTAGCCTTAATCATTGGACATTTTTATCTTCCTGAAGTACCAGCTCCAAAACTGGGCACTACTGGAAGCAGGATACCAGACTTGAGTGACCAACGATCTGATTCACTATGGAAAATCCAACATTCTTTCCTATGGGGCCAATTCAACTCCCTAAGTCTATGGGAGACTTTCCACTGATTTTAATGGGAGTGGGATCAGTCTAGAGAGACTATATCAGCATAACATGGAGAACTGGAAAAAAGTCCTGAGCCTGAAACTCAGCTGTCACACCATCTACCACTGCTAACCCTGGTTCAGCTCCATTCTGTGTTTACAACATTAGGAAACCTAGTATACATAGTAACTGGCGCTGCAGGCATTTTTAGGTCCATGCTGATTACATTTACACTCAGTAGGACTGGATAAAATGCTGGTGTTGAATCTACATTATGGCTCCCAATGTGCTTCACCATTTGAGAAGAACCTGCATTAGCAACAGTGGGGAATTTTCTAGACAGGACACTAGAGCAACCAGCACACGCTTTTAATACCTCCCTATTTTTATTTGTATTTGTGTTCATCCATTAGCCGATTTATACCTCACTAAACTCTACACCTTCCACAGACTAGCTCAACTGCATGATTTTAATCCATGCCTACACTTCATTATTATATCCTCCATCCACCTTCACCTGACTGGGGTAAGTGCTGAAGAATAACACTCCACAAATATTCACTCAAATTTTTACATCAATTTGCTTTGGACACACAATGTGTCTGCTTCCCATGAACATTTAAATTATTGAATAATTGTTAAATAGTGATAACCATTGACAATAATTAGAACAAGGGCTGCAAAATCTTTTTCCACAAAGCTCAGCCAACGAGGCAATCCCAACCTGTTGCACCTTCTAACAGGTCACTTTTGCATCCCCACACAGCTTTGCTTGTCTATTGCGAATGTCATATGCAACAGCAGTGCTATTTCATTCCTGGGCCCCAGACAGTTCTGTTGATGCCCCTTGCTTCTCCTGACTCAAAATGCCTCTGCTAGTCCAATCTTTAGGCCTGTCTCCTCAGCAGAGAATTATTGCGATGAATAGTGTGGTAGGCATGTGATGTAGATAAATAGCCACAAGTGTGAAATACATGCTTGTTGATAATATTGCATTTAACAGTGGACATTGATGTAGTTTTTCGGTGGGGATTGGAGCCCACAAAAAGGATTAACAGCACTGCAGATGCATTTAATTGAGGACTGAGTTGGATAACTGATGAGAATAAATTCTCTTAAACATGCTGTACTAGTAACAGCAGACACTCAAATCCTGTTGCTGATGAGGAAGGTTCTATGAGTTAAAATGGGTTTCTTGTTGCAATGCAAAACAGTCACAGGGAAGGTGACACACCTGCCCAGCCCTGGGAAAAATCCAGCCACTTTGGACCGCAGGTGGCTGAGGCTGGTACCCTCCCAGGTACACACTCTTAGGAGAGGACTTAATGTTCTGGGGAGAAGTTCTGACACAGTCTTACAAGAGCTGGCCACCCCCAGATCAAAATGTCAGATCATCCCTTGTTGTTAGCC